CATGCTGCATAGATCTTTTCGATAACTGCATGTACAGCGTGCTCTGTTGATCTCCCCTTCCGTCCTCCCATGTGAGTGTTTGGAAGTAGTTGATATACCTCTGATACGTAACTGATTCTCTTCGCAATAATAGCATCCATGACCTTGCCAATAGTGTTCATTAATGCGATTGGTCGGTATGACTTGGGTGTAGTGTAGTCGTCTTTGCCAGGCTTACGGAGGACAATCGTTGTAGACTGCCGGAAATGTATTGGGCAGTATTCTAGGCGAAGACTCCAGTTAAATATTCTTGTAAGGTGCGGGGCTATCTGGGTGGCAGCAATATGAAGGATCCGGTTTATTATACCATCTGGTCCTGCGGCTTTCATTGGGCGTGTCGCGGTGATTGTCTGTAGTACTTCTCTGTAATGTCTGGGAATGGAATGTGGTCTTGGTATATGGCCTCGTTTATATCCTGTAAGTCCGGTTCCGGTGGGGTTGGGAAGAAGGTTGTCTTGAGAAGTTGGGCTTTGTCTTGTGCTTCTTTGCACTCCGCGTGTGTTGTGGGATCTTTGAGTGTCGGAGTTGTTGTTGCTGCTCTCATCTCGCTGCGATTTCTAGCCCACTTTGCTAGTTTCCACATGCTCTCTGGGCTTTCCATCGCGCTTTCTATCTTGTCTCTGAATCCTTGACGTAGGTGTCTACGTATTACTCTTCCAATGTCTGTGTGTATGTGTGTGTGTCTATTTAACGTCTAGGCGGGCACGTACGCAAGTCACGTGCCCTTCAGTCCCCGTTGGGGCAAAAGACGCCAGGGGGGGGAGGCCTCTGGCTTCCTGTCTAGCTAGCTAGATTATATAAGAGTTTAAAGGCTGTAGCGGGGTTTACATGTACGCTTTAGCTGTTGTTTTGTCCGCTTGAGGAAGTAAAACAGTAGTGCTGCCACCTCTTTGCAGCATGATCCTCCAGCCTGTGATCCTAGCCCCTGTTCGCCGCTGCCTCCGCCTCTGATAATGGAATAAAGTAAATGAGAGAATAGTAAAGAGAAGAGTAAAAGGAAACTAGTAGACTTTTGAGGGCTCCCTTATAAGGTAGGAGAGCTTTGTGTATGTGATATACACACTTCTTGGTAGAACTTGGAGTCTGTAAACCACTTTGCTAGTTTGATAGAGCCCTGGGTAGTTCCAAGTAGCCAAGGGATTGCGATTGATGGGCGTCCTTTGTGTAGCTTCTTACAGTTTAATAGTAGGCAGAAGTAGAAGTGAAGCGGGGATTTTCTTCTTCCGCAAGAGCAGGTTAAGAGAGCGTCCTCGTGGTGGAACCGTGTATGGTAGTCTGCAAAGTCTCCGTGCTGGGAACGGGCTGCAAGGATTCGTCCAAGTGCTCCGCGGTTTATTGAGAGTAGGTCTTTGTTCTTTTCGTACGGGACCATTAGGTCAAGGTAGTGTTGCGGGGCTGTAGTATACCAGAGTTTAGCGGTTGCTCTAGTCGCCTCTGTTTTTGCTAGCCGCTTTAGGGACGCTAGAGAACAGATGCTGTCCTGAGAGGCTAGTAGGCTAGCACCCTCCTTTGCGGCCCTGTCAGCGGCCTCGTTGCCAGGCACATTCACATGCCCTGGGACCCACCGGACCTTGAGTTCCCCGGTTGGAAGGTGTGCTAGTTTTGTACGAAGAGGCCACTGACGGGCTACTTCTTTGAATTCGTCAAAGGCCCATTGTGATGAGCTGATAGTGTCGCCTAGGAGTCGCTTGGCTACTTCAAGGTTGTCAAGGAACACCCAGAGGTTAGTTGAGAACCTTGCGGATGGGGCAGCAAGGGCTGCTTGTGCTCCTCGGAGGGCTGCAATAGCCTCAGAGTCGTAGACCTCTACGTTGCAGCCTAGTGGGAAGGCCTTGTAGCTAGTCTGTTGGCCACCCTGATAGGTTACAAAGCCACCGCCAGCTGCTCCGTCCTTGGCCTCTTCCAATGTCTGAAAGAGCTCCACCACAAAGGAAGTGGAGCTCCCCACGTGACCTGCCACGTGACCTGCCACGTGACAATTGAGCAAACATACTCATCGCAGAGAACCACTCTTCCATGGACCACTCCGGCATAGCCGCCCTACGGCGGGCGGCTGGAACCGAGTATGAATAAATCAAATCAGAACCACTCTTCCCTCTCAGCGTATAGAATATCCCTTTACGACTTTGTATCAGCTACGAAGACTTACAGATCATCTTAATCTCGTCATTTTCAGCCCGCTATCGGTGGATTGCGCCTCCAAAGATTTGAGACTTTCTATCTGCAATCGAGGCAACTACGTATCCCACAAAGGAGTTCAGCCCTAATCTTTAACATGGCACTACTAAGGCGGCCGAAGAAGACTCTCTGGCCCACCGAAGAGCCAACTGGCAAACACGTAAATATATCCCCCTTCCTCTCTCCATTCTTACCTAGCATCTATTACAGTACAGTACATGAAATACAAAGCCCTACTATATTGCTATAACAACATCAAAGCTGTTGCTGATAAGATGGACACCCACACCTTCTGGTCAATATTGGCGGCGAATCGCTTTTTATACCAAAGAGCTTTTATGGTTGTATTTGAGGAGGATTATTACACAGATAAGGGCTGGGTGATCCGCAAAGTTTTGTTTTACGGTCCAACGGAGCTTACGAGGGCGATGTGGATAAGCGGGTATTGTAAGCAAGATGAAGAGATGAACTGGGATGCAGGATTGGAGAAGCTTACTGGTTTGATGCTGCGGTCGAGAGCTAAGGATAAGTCCGAGGACAAGACGATGTATGGTTGGGTTAACATTGAGGGGTATACGAGGCTCTATCAGATTGATGTGGGACAACAGAAATGTATTGATTTGGAGGATACGGGGGGGGAGAGCTTATGAGCTTGCTGATTATGAGGAGATTTATAGGATTCTTACGGAGCTGGGGGAGAAAATGGCGAAGTGAGATCTATTGGGATGGAAGAAAACATAGAGTCATTGTGTCAAGTCGTTTATGAAGCCATCTAGCAGAAAAAGCATTTCCCCGTTTATAACAGTTATCAGCTATCTGTATTCAACAACATTTTCAACCTAATCTCTTGCTTGCAACCCTCTTATTCCCAAAGTCTAACTCTTACTTGTCAAGGCAGTCGGCTATCGAGCATATGCCAATCAACCCGCCCTCTAAGTACTTTGCCATGCTATCAATTACCTACTTCTAGGTAGTGTGATAAGCAGCATACCTGGAATCCATAGAATCCCGTCAGAGTCGTTCTGGATCATGCTGTGAAAGGCTGGGTTTTCAATATATCAATTCTGAACAAGGGGCCAGCGTCGAAGGGACGATTGGCGGTAAACTATGAGAAGATACACGAGGGATGGTATTCCAACGACTGATAGTATATCAAAACTAGACGCCAATAAACCCAAAATCAAACCAGTTCAATTGATACAAAAACAATTGAAACACCGTACATAAGAAATCCATGCACCACGAGATTGAAGCATCCTCCATTTATACTCCATGAGTGATTTTGAAGCCCCATTCTACCAGGATGTTGTGCACCTCCTCCTCGTCGTTTGCGACCTCGTAAAGCTTTCCATTGGTTCCAGGATAGTTGATACATTCTATAGCACCCACGTCTAGCTGATAGAAGCGAGACTATGTTCCGATGTTGACGGCTCCATAAAGCACTTGTGACTGAGCCTGCTCTTTCTCCTTGCGCGTCTCTAGCATATAGTCAGTGAGCTGGCTAAGAGCATCAGCCCACTGGGCATTTCGTGTCTCCAGTCCTCTGCGCTTATCTTCTATGAGAATCACAGATTGTAAACCGTTATGCCTGATCACTCGTACCCCCACTACCACGTCAATAGCTTTATCCGTATTGTTCTGGTGTCGCTGGGGGTGTAAGCTGTAGTTGAGTCGTTTTGGGAAGTAATCAGGCAGAAGGGTCATCCAGAATGCATCGACTATGTCTTCCTTGGAACCTGGTTTCTTGATCTTTTGGTAAAGATCTACTTGCGTTCATTGTCCATATACTTTTGTCATATTAGTGAGTGTAAATGAATCAGTTGTCATGTATCCTTACATATTTGAAAGACATTCCGAAGCTATGGGATATATAAAGACTTGGAAAGCGACCAAGAAGCGTGGATGGGTGATGTTTGATTGTATTTAATGAAATATGAGAACACAAGTTCGATAAAAGCTGAGGAAGGAGGAGTGGTGTTCCAAAAAAAAATAATTTTATAAGAATCAACGTGATAATCAATGAACTTCTTAAAGGTAAAAGTGGATGTAGAATGGATGCTGAATTCATGCCAGATAAAGGTGCCTTCCTCCAGGTTCTTATAGGTGCGTATGTTGAGCATCTCAACTACTCTGTTGGTTTCTAACATGATTGAAATAGCAATTAAGCGCTGATTTGGAAGTCTTCCTGTATTTAATTCCCCTATGCTGATAGGTATCCAGGGCCACCTTGAGAAAAGTTCCTCACCAAGTGGGTATATAGTGTTTGCGGCGCCTATTTTTAAACCGCAATTTGGCAAGACAAATACTCAATCTTGAGTACCCGGTAACACAACTCTTCTAGCAAGGGTTATAGATTCGCCAGACCCGGCCAAACCAACAAAGTCTTGGGACGTGTTGGGTTGGAATTTTGAACAGAGCGGGGCGGCCTACATGACTCGGCTGAGCCTTTGAATTGCGATACTCTTGGCGAATTACATACTATGGAAGTGAAAAAAGATCATACGTACATCGATACGTCCCCGTTACACTTTGCGCCCAACTTATATGGCTCAAGAGGGTTTGAGTGTATGGGTGGTTAGTGACGCCCTAAGGAATTGTATCTCGCCTCGAGCGTAGCAGGAACCTGCAAGTTTGATAGAGGATTAAGAGCAATTAAAACGATGTTCTCTCATTGATGATACCTGGGTTCAGTAACCAAACAACCTACAAGTGTGATGTAATGACCTCTTAGAATATTTTTCTAACCTTCTCAAGATGTCGTGAGAGGTTGCTATTGGGTCGGATTCTATTTCAGCACCATGATCATTGACAGTCGGTATTACAGTATAGCCGCTCAGCATAAACAATACCAAGGTGATATAACGCTAAAATCGGTGTGCCGCTCTAGAAAGGCGCAGTGTAGAATCAAACGCGCGCCGAAAATGGGTCTCAATTATCTCCACTTTTCCTTCTTAGGAGATGGGGTTCAGCAGAACTACAGTAAAATTTTACTCAGAAAAAAACATATAATCGTGTGTGCTTGAAGTGTTGGTTCTTTCACTTTTACTTTCACATTTTAGAGCATGGAGAAATATTGACTGAATACATATATAGATCAGGCAGGAAAAAAACGGTACACAACTCAGAATAAATGAAAGCAGAAACCGACAGATTATGAAACGTCAGACCAACATCTCAGACCGGGATGGTAGCTGGCGAGCCTGCCACGCCTGGGTGTAGGTGTATCTCGGTGGATCTACTCGCTTCGCGTAAGCAGAGGTATGGGCGCCTCCTCAGCGCTTAAAATATTGGGCTTTCTTGGCAAGACCCGCATGTGCCAAGACCAACTTCCACTCCATAACTGAGAGTGATTGTTTCCAGGAACCATCGCCTTACACATTGCTTTTCGAATAGACTCAAGAAAGTCACTACCAGTCCAGTGATGAGCCCTCAATTCTTCAGCTGCATCATCTGCGGGGTTCCAACCCACGACTATGATGCATCTACGTCTGGGTCTTGGTCGGATCAGTTTCGTGTAAGTGAGTTATTCTTTACCACGAGTCTTCGAACGTGTGTCTGCTAAAGCACCAGCAGTTTATCGAAATCCGTCTGGTCGCTTCATTTCTGGTGTTGGTTGTCGTGAGGACAATCGTGAAACGACGTGGGATGCACCTTCTGATCCTGATCTGCGTTGGGATGACGAACGCAGTCATGGTTCGTTAATAGATGTTCAAGTGATGAAGCAGCCCGTAGATGATGATCAACATGGATTTGTACTTCACGAAGCATGTTGGAAACTTCTGGAGACAGCTTTTCCATCTATCTTGGCAGAAATTCCTTTGAAACGGCTCATCGATATATTTGAATCACTGCCATTTCCTGTTTCCAGCAAAGGCGCCTATTGGGGCCACGACTACGGAAAACTCATTATGGACATCGAGGAACAAGGACTGTATCCTTGGGAGGAATTCTATTTAGCTGACACCTACCACCCGGAAGAAGGCGGTGACGTAAATGCGAATCCATATGATGTTCCTGATCTCCCTGCCTCGCTATCGATGCGTGCAGAGTATCCACCAGAACTGTCAGTTTCGAGTCAACCTGAAAACAAGAATCTCTTTTCAAAGCTTCCAGTGGAACTCTTGGAGAACATAGCTCTCAATTTGCCAACGGAAATCGCGCTTAGTCTACGTCTCGTATCAAAAGTCTTCTTTCCACTCTTATACAATCAGGCATTTTGGGCATCCAGATTTGAAGAAAATGGTGATCGTGATTCCGTTTTCGAGACATGGGGTCGTCGAAATAGTGCCGATGAGATGATTGATTGGTTGAGTTTATATCGCCTCACCAGTTTTACTCACTGCTCGCCAGGGCTGAAGAACAGAAGAAGGATCTGGAGCCTGGTACAACCACTTATTGAGACAATTGGTCTCTCTCCCGCGGAAACAGTTGATACGGTCTCCGAAGACCATGATCATGCTTCTTTGGAGTGGACCAAGGTAGAAGGGGCTTTGACGACTCGTTACCCCATCAGAAGTGGATGTCGTCTTTTCGATACACACGTCGGTTGCGTATGTAAAGACCTCTCGAAGATTGCATTTTCGTTGAGCACTGTCGGAACTATTAGCTACATCTCAGGCATATGCCTAATCTCTCGCAGCGGCTCTAATGTATGTCTTGGGTTGATCTCAAAGACGAACGAAATCATTCGTGAAGTTACGAAATTGAGGGGCTTCATTCTAGCTATGGGCTCAATGGGACTTCATGCACTACAAGTCATTCAAGAGGACTCAAGAGTTTCTGAATGGATTGGATTTCCAGGTAACGCACCTCGAACAGAGCGTCTCATCGGGTTTCGCAGTATTGATTTCCTCCAGGTAGGATGTGATGTAAGTACAAGATCCTGCCCTCCCATTCAAAGCCACCGAGGCCTAATATTCCAATTTAGGGCTTTAAGATCGTTAGTTTCGGGATCTCTCCTTCTGTGCAGACAACAGAAGTTGAATCCCAGTCATTGCACAAAACAGCCCTTTGGTACCCTTATTATACCTCCGCCAATACTGTGTCTCAATGAACCATCGTATACGGCGGGGCCCAAACTCAGCGCTGAATACAATCCATTATTCTGGATCCATTTTGGTGGCCCTGGTGGGTGCAAGCTTAAGCACCTAACTAGTGTTTCATTCGACATCGCACAAGGTTTTTTTGGATTGGAATTCCATTACGGGGCAGGCCCTGGACATGAGACCTGCAAACTTGGTCGCTACGTACATTCCGACAGCTCTGAAGAGGAACATTTCCTCATCGATGGTCCTGGAGGCGAGGTCATCGAATCTGTAGAAGTGATTCTTGAGCACCTTAACATATTTGATTTCCTTAGGGATGGCATCTTGAAGGCTGTGAAAGTAATATGCTCAACTTATACCCAATGTTTGTCTTCTTTCAACCTCCAGAACTAATATGTCTTCTGTATAGCTTACAACCAATTGCAACCGTTCCTTCCAAGGGGGTTTTCTATGGGGACATGGTGGTACCACAGTAACCCTACCTCTGACAATCACGCCGGGAACCACTCTCACAGGCTTTTATGCCAGTAAGGTAAGTAGATATTCTACGCTGATTGAGGATGAAGTAGCTGACAGAATATTAAAGCATATACAATTTGTTCTCATCAGTATAGGTGCCATTTCCGAGGTGGTTGATAAGTGATGGCACGAATTTCTTGACTCTTTAGTGAAATATTGATCATTATCACATATTTACTCTTCTGAGAACCTTAGCTCGATTAAATGAGATAGTGTAAATGAAAGCTGGATTTATCGGACCAAGGTAGAATGTGAAACTTAACGTATTCAAGAATTTCCTACTTTATAGCATAGTACTTAGTACTAAACGTCAAATATTAGTATCTTCGCATAATTCTACGTAAGAAAGAAAGAAGAAGAAAAAGTACATATGGACCTCCCAAATGACTCAAGAAAATTCCAAGCCCCCAAAGAGTGGGATAAACTACGTACTCGTACCGTACTAAATAACATAACCATCGTTCTCTCCCGCTCCGTGAAATCCTCTCCGCGCCCGCCTCTCATCCCCCAGAAACCCACCGCTCACCCAAAATGCCCTATAATCACGTACTTCCCTTCCCTTCCCCCCCACATTCTTCAGTACTAGCTAACATAAAAACAGTCCATGGAATCAGAAGTAATACAAGACTTCTACCAGGACATCAAACCCGGAACCTACAAACGGTCCGGTCCCTCTACAACCTCTGGATAAACCTCATCTATGGACCCCCCTACTTCACCAAACACATCAACTACGGTATCGCTCCAGCCCCTATAATAAATACCACATCAATCGGGTTCCCGTGACTGGCGAGCCGTCAAACTGCTGAAACTCAGAACTACAATATGCATACTAGGGTTTTTCTTGTGAACTGGTGAGGGAATGGGGTGCGGGACGAGGACGAGGGGTAGGAGGTGGGATTGTAGGTTTTGAAGTGGTTTATGGGGAAGGAGAGGGAGGAGATGGCGAGGACCGTATGGGGGTTTGTGAATTTGGGGGTGTATATAAAGGTTTTTGAGGTGGGGAGGGAGGGGGAATTGTTGGGTTTAAGGGGGTGGAGGGAAGATGCTTGGAGGTTTAAGATGATGAGACGATTGATGGGATTTTGATGGAGGTCAAAGGGAGTAATCGTGAGTGAAAATTAATATTGCATTTGCAACTGTGGTTTATGAGTGGGTTTTGAGATGAGGGAAATGGTGTGGGAGTAGGCAAGTCTAGAGTGAAGGAATTTCAGGGAACCCTTGTATGACAATGTATACTCAGTGCATATTCTACTTATTATAAAACCCGGAATCCAAATGCACCGTCTTTGATAGGGATAAAGCAGCTTGCTATCCTTAATACACTATCCAATGTAATGAAAATCTTTAACGAGAAGACCCAACACCAATTGGACTGAAGTCAAACACAAAATCACAATATACGACTTTTTCACCCCTAATCCTACACACACCGTACTAATGAGTAAAATAATCCAGGCTTTTAGCAACGGAGTCAAGCATCGTCAGATGAACAGCTCCCTCATCAGCAGCCAATTCCTCCACCCGCCCTTCCGTCCCAGGATACCCAACACACTCTCTAGTATTCGCGTCAATCCGATAAAACCTTGAGGACGTTCTCATATTCGAAATCTCATACGTAGTCCTCGGTTCATCTTGGCCGTCCCTGGCGTGGATATCTTTCACCCGACACGTAAACTATCCCAATGATGCTTTCCACGCATCGTCTCCTCTAATCTTTATAGAAGTGGCGATCATGATCAGGTTTGGGAAGGTCCATCTTAGATATCGTACCATGATAATTCCGATTCAATGGTGGGGCGTTCGGTTGTGATGTCCCAGTTGCTGGTAAATGAGAAGTACTTGCAGAGGATTCAGTACTATAAGACGTCGGTGGGCCCAGGGGTGGAGATCAGATTTTGGGGTTTTTAGTGTTGTTGTAGAGAGATTGTTTGGGGCCCCTGGTGAGGTTCTATGGTGGGATTTATGGTGGGGAAAAAGGTTGGATTACGTGTTTGTAGCATCTTGTGAGATGGATAGATTGTGGGAATAGGTTTATAGCAAAAGAAGATATTAAACTACATTAAGCGAGACTGTTTTCATATCATTGCTAAAAATGTAGTATTTTATGCTACTCTATGAAATGCATCTCCTACAATGGGTCATCTCGCTCAGAGAGCTTGCCTAAAGCAGCACATATTTCCAACTAGTACCTATGTTTCTGACTTAAAAAGATTAATTCCAATTGACAAGAAGTGATCCAAATACCTATCAATCCTTACGAAACAAATCTAATAAGTCCCAGTGGTATCCACGCAAATCCGTAGCTCACCATATATATAACATAACGGCCATACCCTGCTATATAACATTAAAGAATAATTCTATACGGTAGAGAATATCCTCAAGACCACGAGGACTTGTTACTCGGATGAACTTTAACTTATAGAATATTAGATGAGCTACAGAGCGGTAAATCCTTCACTAGACTAGGTATAAGCTTATATACTTGCAATCTCGTGAAGAATTTCCGTTGTATAATCCATTTTTTATAACTACTTTTAGGTAGTATAAGATTACTCTTCAAGGCATCCACTTAAGCATTCTACCATTATCCTTAGAACCCTTATACCTAAACCCCTCTTTCTCTTTCCTTAACTCCCATTCTTTCTCTATAAAATACCGCAAAAACTCTTTACCATTACATCACTTCTTCATAAGACTACAAGTACAGTACAGGATGTATCAACCCTAAGCGTAAACACTCAACACTCACATCACACAACCTTCAAAACTAATACAGAAGGGCAGAAACACTGATGATAAGACTATGCCTTATACTTGGATTTGTATTTCCTATATAAATCCCCATAACATCCATTTGCTTCATTTGTTTACAAGTACATCCAGATAGGCACCCATCCTCACACGTAAAGGTGACAACACTATTAGCACCTCGAACTTCGCATCGTTAGTACATACGTTCATCCATCATAAAAGATCATTTAGAAACAGTAATTGGGTTGGTTGATTATGCGACCCGCCTCCAGCTTTTTTGGGCATTCTGCTGGTGTTGGGGATCGTACCGTAAGGGCGACAAGGGAGAATAGAAGGAGGGTGAGAAATTTCATTTCGGTTTGTCTGCTGTTCCTTTTACGCTTCTTTTGATTGGTTATGCTGTGTCAGTATCTCCGTATTTTCCCTCTCCCTCTCATTCTCATTCAAGTCAGAAAGTAAGTATCCAGACAACAAAAAAAGAGTCCTTTTGTAATAAAAAGAAACAGAAATCGCTTAAACGCCTTTCCAATGCTATGCTCTGCTAGCCAGGTGATATCTACCAAGTCATGCCAGTCCAGTCCAATCCAGTTCCCCAAACGCCAGCGATGAAGTAAAATGTACGAATTACAGCCCTTTGATATTCAACACGCCCATTTCCATTCGATCCAATTCATATCTTCTGTGATTCATCCAAGTCTGCCCCATCTTATTCCCCGGACCTAAGCAATCATCCTCCAGGCCCAACCAACCCACTCCAGAACGAACCAAACCAATATATCATAGGTATCATCAACAACACCCACCCCCCGACTTCTGAGCCTGCGCGCTGAGCTTTACACGGTTTCCCGCCGTCGCCCCAGGTCCCTTTACGCCGGACCGTCGATCATTCAAATCATATTTCCCAGCCTCGATATTCAGATATATCCTCTCGCTCACCCTTCCAAAAGCCTTCTCTACCCCCTCCCCACTCTTAGCACTAGTTTCCACATACTCCAACACACCATTCTTACGCGCCCATTCAGATGCCTCTTCCGCTGTGACTTCCCTCTTATTTTCCTCTCCCGTCGCAAGATCGCTTTTATTCCCCACCAACACGACAACGATATCCGGCTCCGCAATCTGCCGTAAATCATTCAACCAATCCTGAACATGCTCAAAGGTCCCCCGTCGCGAGATGTCAAAAACCAGTAACGCCCCCGACGCACCACGGAAGTAAGAGCGCGTCACACTCTTATACGTTTCCTGGCCCGCCGTATCCCAAAGACTCAGTTTCATGTGCTTCTGCTCGATCACCGGCTCCGTCCGCGGCGGCTCAGGCAGTCCATTTGAGATCGCCGCTAACGAGGGATCGCGCGAGATGGAGGGCTTCGCTTTGGGTGGTTGGGTGTTGGGGGGTCCGACGGGGACGATTCGAGAGCCGAATTCTACCCCGATTGTTACGTCGTGGTGCGGCGAGAAACGGCCTTCGCAGAGGCGGATGGTGAGACTGCTTTTGCCCGTTCCGCTGTCGCCTATGCAGACTAGTTTTGCGATGTAGTCCCATGATAAGGAGGACATTTGGGAGGTATGTTGAGGAGGAGCTGGAGAGCTTGGGTGAGGGTAGGCTGAGGTTGGGCACGCGACTGTGGCGAGTGGTGGTTGCGGGGTGGGTGCTGGTTGTGATTGATGATGGGTTGTCTGGGGGTTGGTGATGTGAGTGTGACTTGAGGCTCTTGAGGGACGTTGGGCCGAGTTTGAGGGGGTGGAGCTTGGTGGGGAGTATTGATGTATTGATGGAGTGAGGAAGTGAGGTATGGATACAATATAAATTGTGGTTGGTCTTGAGGATGTAATGTTCCCTTGTCAAATACAATCTTTTGTTTTGCTTGTGAGAGCTTGGCTACTGTTGGCTCAACTCGGGAAGATGAACTGCAGCTGCCACGCTAAGATTGCAATGGGGGTTGGGGCTCCGTAAGTGGGTGATATCATGTGGCGGTTGTCCCTGGAACTGCATTAAGCGTGAATCGGGTTGTAAGTAAATAAATACTTACCTAGATATATTCACTACAAGCAAAATCCACAAATAAGGTGGGATACTTGCATGTCAACTATTGAATGTAATAGTTTGTGCTCATAGACATCTGACTAAGACTCTTAGATAGACTTTAGAAGTGGTGCAGAGCACGTTCACGGTGCTTTGTCACAGTTGATGTTCTCACGCTGCTGATTTCCCTTCACAGGTGATTCAAGTCGGGTGGGTGTACAGGGGTCGGTTCTGCCCCGAAAGCGGTGACCTTTCACAGTCCTATCTACTCAGTACTCTGCTGCTGCCTCTCCTGCAACTGTCCGCCTGTTCATGACTCCTGCGAACTCCTGTCCATACAAACTAGTCAAGAAAAGTTGTGCCCAAAGTACACCACCGAACTTAGACAGTCAGTTGTTCCGCGAATATCTCTACCACCAAAGGTTCTGTCTGCCTTTGTCTGGAACCTTCAACCCTCTCTCCTTCCAGTCCCATCTATCGACAACCTCGGAGTCTGGATAAGAGATCCCCAGGTGGAGCTTGACCGCCGTTATCAGGTACAACACCAAGCACGCTTTGTGCTCGTGTTTCCATCCTTGATCTACCACCACCAGTCTTGAAGGCGAGGGATCAACATGTTCTCGGAATGTAAGAGGCATCCAGAAGAAAACATCCAGTCATGCGTCTAGAACAAACTAACCCTTCCTCTATAGATGCCTCCCGATTCCTAGCACAGTCGCAATCGCGATTCTCCAACTTTGGCGGGCAAGATAACAACACCGATACGCCCTCACGAAACCCCTCTGACCGATCTCGTCGATCTTCAAATCAACCTCTGAGAAGTGCATCAAGAGGCTATGCCAACCGACTGGGGAATCCATATCAATCCAACTTCAACTTTGCCTCGCGGTATAGCACATCCGCTGCTCCAGACGCCCCATTATTCCAAAGCGCGTTGGATGAGTTTCGAGAAGAAGACGATGAAGAGGAACGGGAACGGGAAACGCGGGATTATTATGCCTTGCAGAGATCGCGAAGAGTGTTTCCGGTAACACTGGAAGAAAGTCAGGAGACGGATCATGCCAGTCAAGCTTCCGTGGATGCAAGTAGAGAGGAGGGTGGGCGATTATTGGAAGATCGGGGTCGGGGACGAGGGATCAAGAGTAGTTGGAATGGAGGAGGGCATAGTACGAGAGAAAGAGGTCGACTTCCGGAGACCGTAGGGGAGGAGGCCGAATACGATTTGAGAGGGCGTAGTCAAGGAAGTAGTAAAGGAAAGGACCGGATGGTAGATGTTGGGTTGGAGTCTGTCAACGGGGAAAGCGATGATCCACCCGAAAGTCTGGCTGTGGAACAATACCAAGATGATGATATTCCGCCAGCTTTTCAGAATTTCCGACCAAATTCAAAACCCGGAGCAATAAAACTACATACCGATTCCCGAGATCGTAACCTTCAGGCAAAAATGGGAGCTAATATCCCTCGACCTCCTAGTTCGACTGATACAACAGTTCCAGCGACGATAGCGAATGCCCTCGGAGAAGCACCAAGTCACGATGTATTCTTTGGTACGTTTTACCTGATATGCATCGGATCACTTTTTGCTACCTTTTTCCTCATATTCCTTCATACAACGCCTGGTAAAAACCTAGGGGATACCATTTATACCACCATGCACTCCTCGTTTTACCTGTTATCCGTGGATACGGTGGTCTCAATTATTGTATCATTGGTCTGGTTGGCCTTATTACGATCATTTGTGAGGAATTTGGTCTATCTCATCGTACTGGCGGTGCCGATAATTCTGTTTTCTTTCTCACTGTATCCTCTGATCTCAAGTTACAGAGGCGACACCAGTGGAGTGAGTATACAAGACAAGGCAATGAGATGGCTTTCATTCATTCCATCAATATTTGCAGTCATCTGGTTATACACCTTGATCAAAGGTCGCCATTCTTTACACAAGGCCATTGGAATATTGGAATTTGCCGCCCGAATACTCGCTGCCAATACTGCACTTTTAGGATTCGGTTTTGCTACTCTTGGAGCTATTGTTGCATGGACATGGCTTTGGCTGGGAATGTTTACCAGAATCTTCCTTGGCGGACATCAAAAGGATACTTCACTCACTGGATTCATCATCGATGCCTCAAGTTGGTGGTTGGGAGCATATTTCGTTCTAATGTACATCTGGACACTCTCAATCATCAACGGTATTCAACGCTCAACAACAGCCGCAACCGTCTCACAATGGTATTTCCATCGTAACGCCGCCCCCGTTCTCGCCTCTAGAGATGTCGTGTCTGCGGCTCTCACCCACGCAACCACCACCCTCTTTGGAACCATTTGTCTCTCTACCTTACTGGCACTCTTAATTCGTCTCCCACTTCTCATTCTACCAAAGCGACTCGTGGGGATAGCAAGCATATTCGCCTACCAACTCATCCCAACTCCCATCACGGCTCTCACCAACCCTCTCACATTAACCTATGCAGCAATTCACTCCCAACCACTCACCGTCTCCGCACGAGGCTTGTCCCAAATGTCCTTCCTCACCCCCCAAGCCCCCACCACAACCCTAACACCCCGCTCCTTCGCCTCTCGTACCAACAACCAATCCGCCCCCCTCCTCCCTTACCGACTTGCTAAACTTCTTCTCCACGCTACGCGCTTCATCATGGCCATGGCTCTCGGATTCGGAGGCTGGGTCGCGACCGCTAAACAGTTGGCTATCAGTGTTCCTGGTGGTGCAGGTATTCGCGGGAGTGCGTATGCGTACGTCATTGGTCTCGTGGCTAGTTTCATCGGATGGGGAGTGCTTGGTGCTATGGAGGGTGTGCTTTCCGGAATCGTGGATGCGAGTGTCGTTTGTTGGGGCAGTGAGAGGGGGATGGTTGGTGGGGGTGCTTATTGTCTTGAGGCGGGATATCTATTTGGTGATGGAGAGGAGGATGGGAGGGTGTAGACTTGGTTATCCTCATTAGTTTTTTTCATGGAATGAATGGTTCTGGTCGAATCAGGTTGGGTCTTTGATTGTGATGAAGTTCTTATGAGATGGCTGCCCGCTGGCTTTCTTGCGGTGGAGGGAGGCGAGAGATGGGGAATTTGCTATGTGAAACTTTGACTTTGAATTTGTGGTCATGTGTTGAGGTTTGGTGTTTGGTGTAGGAATGGACTTGGGCTTGGGATATGGGGATTTTCGGATTGTGGATTTTGAGTTTAGCGGGTTGTGAGGGGAAGACCTCTTAAGAAGCTTACGCTACGTTTCGGTAGCTTGTAAAGGGAGCTGGTAACGGTGGCGTATAGTTGCTTACTTACTTGCATAAATACTTATTTGCATAAGTAATTGCATTCTTTGATTTCCCTTTTTGCCAGCGTTTGAGCTGAGTTGAGTTAAGTTGAGTTGAGTTGAGTAGTAGCACCTACTTAACTCAACTCAGAGTAGTATTTAGATATACTTGACTTAACTCGCTAAGTACTACTTAAGTAGTACGAAATATACTAGTATATTAATTCGGGTTAGTTAGCCCCTTTATAAACTAAGCTAGGAACAGCGTTCGGCACTTAGAATACGATTCTAAGGATTCCAAGATTCTATTCTAAGGTAGAATATGTCACGAATCACGTGCTCACGTGATACTTGTCATAATAAGAGGCGCAACCCTCGACAGGCATACCCAGGTTTCTTATAGCAAATAGGGATCGCTTAGGGTAGCTAAGCGATCCAGGGATTTCCATTGGTTATGGTCACATGATTAAGTTGGATCGCTGGATCGCTCGGCGACCTAGCGAAACGGACCGCCAGCTCGACAGGCGAGTTGGCTACCCAGATCATAGTACTTGAGGATGAAGGTTCTATATAAGACTGGCACGTCTGCCATTAGATAGGAGCTTCGTGCTCAACTTAGTTATCAATCTTATCATATTTGTTTGACATCTTTGATACAAGTAACGAGTTCACTTCCAAGTGAACAACCCGATAGTCTTCTTCTTATCATAGCATACCAACCAGCGAACACCCAGCCAAGTTTAGTTAGCCAGTTTGAGTATTCGTTACAGAATATTCCAAAGGCTCTCTAATTTAGAATAGAATATTCCAAAGGATAAGGCATTAGAATTTAGAATTCTAAAGTATATATATATATATTACTTATAAACCAATAAGAGAGCTCTACTTGTTATAAAATAAGAACTAAAACTATAATTATTCGACTATTTACTCTTAGTATAAGCACGTACCCTTAGTATATCTTAGTAGTACTAACTTATATATATTTACTCTATATATTATTTAACCTATCTAAATAGTAATACTAAGGCTAAACCTAGTCTTCCGATTAGTCGCTCGGACTAGAACTATTATTTTATAAGTTACGTAGAATTCTCATTAGAATTCTAAATATTCTATAGAGGGGTCTTAGAATAGAATAGAATTATAAATGCCGAATGCTAACTAGGAAATAAAGTATTATATATGTATTTATATATTCCTATAAGAAGGACTTATAGTAAGCGCTAATATTAAATATAGCTTAGTATTTAACACTATCTTACTATAAGTAATTAAGTATAGGTTTTTATAAATAAGAATATAGATATAGAGATATAGGTACTACTAAAAGATATTATATTTATTTATTTAGTAACACCTTTTAATAATAAAGTAGGTATACTAAGGAGTCCTCGAGTTATTAAGTGCTTTACTCTATCGCTACTTATGAGTTTAGATAGTTTTTTAGTATTTGAGATGGTAGGTTGGAGATTAGAGATTAGAGATTCTTGATTGTTGATTGTTGATTGTTGATTATTAATGAGTTTAAGGTAAAGGAGGGGTAGCGGGAGGGAGGGAGTAAGATAAGTAAGGTAAGCGAGAGGTAGGAGAGCGAGTAAAGGAGAGTACTTTGTTAGTTTTTTAGTTCTTTACTTCTTCACTTCCTCCCTCCCCCATTCTCACCCCTATAACAAAGCCCCAATCAGACCCTTAACCCAAACCCTAACCCTACTCCATCAAACTAAAATAACCTCAAAACGCAAGATTTCCAACCTCCCAAACTCCTACCATTCCATCCTCATATAACAAGTATAATTACAATTACAATCTACAAATATATCTCCGAATTTCTCTAGAATTTCTCTAGAAAAGAAAGAGAAAAAAAGATCTTGTATTTGAATGTTTTATATATATTGTATACCCAAGTACCCTTGTTTATTACTCCCATAACGAATTTACGGAGAGTCTATTGATTCTATAGATATGTAGACTGTAGTGATGAGAGCTAGACGAAGAGGATGACGAAGAATAAGGAAGAGAAAGGGATTCTTTAAAGTTATACTTATTAAATTCTCTTATTTTATTTTATCTTATTTATTCTCAGGCTTTTCGCAACTATCCATCTATTCATTTCTTTCATTATAAATGCGTCCTTTCCGAGCGAATTCTATCAGAAAAGGGAAAACATAAAACTCCTTGAAGAAGGAATACACCACCATACTGTAAACACCAACAAACCTGCGATCCCAGCTTTTCCCTCATCCATGGATTTTTCCCAGCCCCGTAAACGCCTTTGTCGGAATCTCTATCGAGTAAGCAGTACAACTTCATCCCCTCCCCTCTCCTCAACCTTTTTATGTTTCTTCTTCCCTTACCAACCCATAGACAGCTAGATCACCCAACCATAACCACATCCCCATCCCCTCTCGCCCCATCCCTAACAATCCCATCCTTCTCGCCCGCCCTCGTATCCCCCTGACACCCGGGACAATTATGCGCAACCTCATGCGCAAAAACATCACAATCAATACAAAAATGGTTTCCACAAACCTCACACGCATACCGGGAACTCTCACTGGTACCTTTATGTTCACCGGGTTTCCTTCGTGGCTCTCCATCCGCTCCTACATCCTTCGGGATCTCGGGAAATTTCGAGAGGCATGAGAAACATGCTTTGGAGTTTTCTGACCAGGCGACGGACCAGGGGACCTCGATCCAGTTTTTGAGGGGGAAGAGATGGTGATATGAGCGCGCGAGATGGGTGGAGAGGATGAGTGTGAGACCGCAGGCAGGACATTCTGCGGGTAAGGAACAGACTTTCGAGTTGCACCTCGAACAGAGATATCCCCCTCGACTCAATTTACTATGACAAGCACAAAAGCTCATTGTCTTTCCACTCCCCAGGGTGCGCGATGGAAACCCCATCATTAAAAGACTACTTTGAGACTGTTTCTTCGTCCTGGTTACCGGTGGGGTAGTAATCGCCATGACCAATTCGCGAAAATGTTGTTCGTTGAGCGCAACGCTGTAATTCCCTTCATCGCCTGCATTTGTCGATTTACACAGTTCCGCACAAATAGCAACCTGCGCAGCAAGTCCCACGACCGAAACCCTGATACGATCTGTGATGAGAGATTGAATCGTCTCATGTATATCTCCCGGATCCGAACTAAGTAACGCGCCGTAAATAATGAGAATCTCCCTCGTTCCATGACTGGGCGCGTGAAAAAGCGCAGCTCGACTCATCTCCAGCGCATTCTGTAAACTCGGATTTCCCTGTCCCTGCTGCTCTCTCAACCCTTTCAGTTTCTCAATGTGTTCGGTGGGGTTTCCTGACATGTCGCTGATTCGCACGGCGATACCGTCGCGCATGCCTATTATGCCCAATTGCGAGATGGGGTTCTGCTCAAAGTACTCGGTTACGAATTCAGATGCGTAACGGATGGTGAGGAGATAGCGGGTTGGACGGAGATCTTTCTCCACCATAGCGAAGGAGAGGTCGATAATCAGTATCAGATGCCGAATAATACCTCTTTGTAAAGGCGTAGTATCTTTCAATAATCTGTTCCAATATAGTTAACCACTATCCAAACATCCTCTCCATCTCCCCAAAAACAAACCCCAGATACAAGAGAGCTCAAAAGACAGAAAGAAGAAGGGGAAAAAACAAACCTCTTCCTCTTCCCCGCCTCCCTCAGTCCCTCAACCGCCGAATTAATACTCCCATCCGCCCCCTCAACAATGGTATCCCAACTACGCTGGATGTCCTCCCACGCGGCTCTCTTCCTGCCTCCAGCGTCGCCAGAAGCCTTCACGGGGCCTGAGGAGCGCGTGCCGTGTTTGGCGGATGGCTGGTTAGCACCAGCATCATCGTCGGAATCCGCGACGTAGTCTTCGTCGGAACTGGACATGTTGGGTGAGGTTGTTGGGGGGAGTGGTGAGGTTACTGTCGCAAGGCTGAGGGGTTTGAGTTTGGGGACGGGAGCCTCGCTAAGTGCTACTGTAGTGGTGTGGGGTACAGTACAGTATGGTGAACCTGGAAAGGTACGAGTAATAATTTTATGAACAGGAATATCCTAGTATAGTACAACAATCCTCTACCTACTCATGTAAAAACACCCGTCTCTAAACAATACCTAGGTACCTACCTACCTAGGTAACAATTCCATTAACCCCCGCACACTAACACCAACAAAACATAGATCTCAACCCCTCTCAAAAAATCCATAACTCCCATCCCAAATTCCAACTATACTCCTATAGTCAAGACCACCACACCTCTCCTACCCTACCCCCGATCTACCCTTAATTCCCTACCTACCTACCTACCTACTCTCTCCCCAAAAAAGAACAAACTCTGACACTCTCTCTTACTCGTAGTCTACCTAGGTACTTTCAAGTTTCAACATTCTTCCCACGACCCCACCTACGAAGTATATAATCACCACCGCAGTAGGAAGACGCACTGACTATTACTGTGCTTAGGAAGAACTCACTCTGACTCTGACTCTGACTCTGACTCTGACTCTGACTCTTAACCATACATGTTATTAAAAAACTCTAATTTCTTTTTGCGTCATGGGTCCAATAAACTCGCCCGCCATGACACTGGGTATACTACTAATGCAACAAGAAAAAGAAGAAACATCAGAGAAAAGAAAAAAAAAATCATATACAAAGCCAAAGAAGCCAAAGAAAAGAAAGGAAGAACAAACAGAAAGGTGCTCCTCTTCAATCATCGTCCTCTTGTTATCTGTTTTCTCTCCCCCTTCCCTCCCAGCTATCCTCCATCCCCGAGCCCGTAAGTATTGTACGTCCTCAATTATCTTCTACCTATAATAAGTAGTCCGTATTTCTGAGCAAAACATGCTGTCTCCGTGTAATAGTTTCAAAACAATATCGTGTAAACTTGTCAAAAGTGCCGCTCCCTGAAAAAAATGCCCATCCCGAACGCCGGTTTTTCCCTAAAACAATCTCAACTTTGGTTATCGCTATGAGTATGTAGTCGCTGGCATTGGCCAGTCATCTTCGGTAATGCTCGACCAGAAGACCCAGATTGTGACCACCGAGAGCAGAGTGAACAAAGTCTGGAAGAGAGCTCCATCGATTGCTCCTTTGGTGCCGATACAGATGTGAACACTAGCGACATAGTTGAAGATTTGTCCAATGGCAAAAAGGAGAGCTGCGGCTCCAAGGTAGAGCATTGGTTTGCGCTCACCCAAAACTCTGATGACCAATAGAGTCTCCAACACAAAGAATGCAAAGAGAAATACTAGAGGTGCAAGTTGGTAAAGGACGTAGAGTGCGATGCCTCGGTTGGGTGGGCTCAGACTGCTGTCCCAATATCCGGTCCAGCTGTAGCCAGTATCGAGGGCGATATATCCCGTTCCGATGAAGAGTGCTGCAGAAGATGCAACAATGAGACCAACCGACGTTGGAGTACCGTCGTCGAGGAGTTGATAGCCAACAATGGCATTGATTAAGAGAATCCAGAGAGTAGCAGTAATCATGCCCAAATGAATACCCGTAAAGGCAATCAGTACTGTGTTGTTAAGGGGAAATTTGCCAACAGTAAAGATTTCGCAGATTTCAATCAGGATGTAACCCAGAAGGAATAATTGCATTTCCCTGTCACCTCCAAATTAGCCCACACGCCGGCAAAACTGGGTCAAGAACGCATTCTTACCTTCGACCAACCGCAGCCTGTTTTTTGTCTGACCGCCATATTAAGAAAGCTGTTACGGCAATTGCTATGGCCGCGAGTATTATTGACCCTGTTTATCATAAGTACTGGTGTAGAATGCAGTTGCAAGATTACTGACCCAAGTTGCCTAGATGTCTTCCACCACTCAAAGAAATACCGGTGAGCTGGCAACTCAATTGGCTTGGGTTTGCATAACTGAATCCAGGGAAAAGCTGTTGCGGATGAATTAGTGAATATCGGGAAAGTGTTTCGGATGATTGCTTACATTACAGATAGGAAGAGTCGAGTCGCGACAGAAATCCTGTTGTCGGGTTGCGGTCAGCAAGACTCCTGGCACCGAAGGAGTTGAGCACTGCGCGGGGAGCTCAAAGTACTGCTATGTACTCACATGGAAATTTCCGAACTGCGTTGAACCCATCGTCTCGATCGGAGCGCTGCGCGCAAAGTGAGGAAAACGATTCAGTGAGGACCTTTGAGCTTCCTCGACCCAGTTTCGTTCTCAGATTTAGGTATGCAGTTCTCGTCGCGGATATCGTAATGGTCTATTCGATGCCGTCGTAGATCTGTTTGTCGCCACTGGAAACTCGATCGGCCGCAGCAACTTGCGTGTCGGTGCTGAGGGTGGTGTGGTCTATGATTCGGTGGTGGGAGTGTTTTGGAGAGATCGAGGTCGCGGTCGTGCTCCAATTGACTTCATTAACCAAGTCAAGAGCGGTTCGAGCCTCGATTATGATTGGGGTGCGGTTATGCGACGACCACTTCAATCAATCTTCACTGCCACGATCAATGCGATGCAATTGGGGGTCGTTTGGGGTCCTCTGAAGTGACAATGGAGGATGTTCTTAAAGGCGTCGGCGTCGGCGTCGACGGTGGCTGGGGGAGAGAGTTCGGTAGTCCGCCGCGCTGGTTGCGTAGCCCAAGTTACTAACAAAGGACAACTGTGTAGATGGTACTCGAGTAGAGGCTTGGTACGAGTAGTAGTGGTGATCGCGCGGTGGATTTGAGGATTGATTACTCTGCAGCCAGAGCCGGACTTTCAGATGAGAGGTCGGTCAAGCACAAGCAGCGAGCCGGCTGCGGGAGCGAGAGGAGAGGCAGTGGCAGTAGTGAGTGGCAGTGAGTGAGTGGCAGCGGCAGAGAAAGGTCGGTGCCAGCTCCAGGCGAGCAGGCGACGTTTGTATGGGTGGCGGTGATTGTTGTATGGACAACGCCCATGCCTCTTCACCCTCTTCTCACTACTCAGGTACGAGTACACTTCAGCGCCCTTGGGCCTTGATTTCCCTGCCCCAGCATCAAATCTTAAAGGGCGAGAGGCCGGGAGACCCACTGAACCAGGGTCCGCCCAATGCAGCAAGAGGCACGAGAGCGGCCCAGGGTTCTCACTGGATTGCTTGTGACAAGCTGCGATCGCCTGTGGGGAGGGCTAAGATGAGATGCCGTTTGATGAAGCGCTCGTGCTGGTTGAATGGGAAATGCGCTTGGAGATGCGATGCTCAGAACTTCTCGCTCCCAGTCCGTGTTTACTTGTTCATTCTTTCCATCTCTCCATTCTAAGATATACAGCAGCGGATATCACGTCGCGATTCATGGAATCCCGTCCTGGAGCGAATTGCCTGGATTGCAGGTGCGTTTCAGATTAACCGGCTGATGGGAATCTACGAGTACCGCCCAGCTATCCGTACAGTAGTTGCCATCCATTGCAGGTGCCATCCATTGCAGGTGCCACACCGGCCGGCTTGAAAGGTATCGAATGCATCTAGAAGCCAGCAGGTGCAAGCTGCATTCGGCAATCCGAGCGTCAACCTCCAGCCCCGCCACTGGCTTTGCATCACTTGGAACTAAATATCGAGTAAAGTTATCTTTTTCGACATGGACAGCTGGACAACTGGGCAAGAACTGGATGATCGAGAAACGTTCTAGAGAATAGGATAGCTGGGTCCGGACTTCTCCAAGCTGTACTTTCCTGTTCATGGTCTCGGATGGCTTTTCTTGGGCGGTTCCAGTGCGGGCACTTTCGTCATTTTTCCACGCATTGATGGCGGATGGAGGGGTCGTTCCACCCTACCGGAAAAACGATCTATTGAATCGAAGGTCTGATATATGCTAAGATATGAGGCTGAAAAAACTTGGAAGAGATCTCCAATTACGAGTAAGCAAAGACCATGCCGTGTGCCGGGGAGAAATGACAATTCCGTATATCAATGCTAAAATCCTTAGATGGACGCCATCAACGATCAATTTTTTCTTTTTCCTCGGTACGGTAGTATGCCTTGAGCACAATGCTTTTAATTCAAGAGCTGAATAACTTTACGTCAAGTTGCCCAAAATAAAATATAAAGCCGACCACCAATATATTCTACAAAAAAGTGTGATTTTTCTCTAGGCTTACCCGACAATCTCCCCCCTTCATGCCTCGCCAAGTTCAGTTACACACGGCCTATCAATACTACGTACAGTACAGTAGTACAAAATCTGGAATCTGATTTGGAAAATGCCTATAAGTTGAAGACCGACATGAACTCATCAATTCTTCTGCATTCTTGCTGAGCTATTCATATTTGTATTTGTTACCTTGTAGGACTGTTTACTCTGTCTCAGGGACTTATCTTGAGCTATTGAAATTTTCCAAAGGGAGATTACAGATAACCCAAAGACCCCTTATTACAATCCTACCACAAAACAACTTCTAACAAACAGCAGAACTGTGGAACTTATGTGTTAATTCAGCAAGCTTAAACTTCCCTTTCCCTTCCTTGATCGTGGATTGCTTCATCCAAGAAACCACAAGCTGTTATTTGCAGAATTCTGAAAGTTGCTTACTCGAGAATTTATTGACCAATAAAGATTCTTACAAAACTCAGGATGAATATCAAAAAACTTCAAGATCTGTTCACGGTGAAATTGAATCAAGCTTTTGATGTCCTAGCTTCTCCAATCGCGTGCAATCGCCAGCATCTGTTAGCAGTTATGTAAGCTTTACCGATTCTAACCTGAGGCAGCCAAGGCATTCATGGCTTTCGTCACAGCTTTCCCAGCCAGCCTCATGCTTGAAGCTCTGGTCTCTCTCTGATCTTGCTGCTCTCTCTTACCTCCCTCCTCCACGTTTGTGCGCCATCTTCGTGATACCCTTTGAGACTCGACCATCATCGTCCCCCTCTATCCCCATTGTTCCGCTACCGTTGCAACTCTTCCGCAAAAAAGAAAAGCCGATATTGTGGTTTTGGTGGGAGCTAGTCTGTTGAGAGAAACGCCCGCAGCAGACCTTGACCACGACCGAATTCTGCCAGATAAACAAACGAAAAAACTCGAGTCTCTTCGCTCCACACACCTCGAGTCGCGGCCGCAGATTCAGCCCGTCTATAGACTGCCAGTCGAACAATTTACCAAATTCTCAACTTCAATACAAATTACCAGTCGCAATCATGATGTCCGGCGAGGCATGGCTGTACCTGTTGGCGGTACTAATTAATGCCGTCAACCTCTTCCTACAAGTGTTTTTCACGATCATGTACAGTGATCTGGAATGGTGAGTTCTGTCCTTTCTACCATTTTGCCGCCCACCCACTTTCGCCATATGCGGATTGCGTATTTGGCACAGGCACCAGCAAAAGTATCTGCTATTGATAATCCATGCTAACCCGACGGCATAATAGTGACTACATCAACCCAATCGACCTCTGCAACCGTCTGAACACGTATATCATTCCTGAAGCTGCAGTTCATGGCTTCTTGACTTTCCTCTTCCTTATCAACGGGTACTGGGTCGCACTCATTCTCAACCTGCCACTCCTGGCATTCAACATCAAGAAGTACGTCCCATAATTTCGAAGCATATATGGCTCATGGCATTGCAAATACCTGGCAATAGACGAGAAAGAGCTTTGCTAACGTAGGATACAGAATCGTCGACAACGCACATTTACTAGATGCCACGGAGATTTTCAGAAAACTCAACGTTCACAAGAAGGTAATATAACTTTGCTTGGCAAATATCAAATAATTGGTGTACTAACACTCCAATAGGAATCATTCATCAAACTTGGTTTCCATCTTATAATGTTCTTTTTCTACCTATACAGCATGATTGGTATGTACCCCACACCACCTCCCAGTTGCTTTTGATATTTTCAAGAATCATACTAAACGTCCATAGTTGCCCTCATCCGCGACGAGTCTCATTGACTTACCACCTCAATTTCTTGCCCAGGGTAATTTCGAAGAGTAAGAAGCTTTGAACTGCTGTGTTAGGCAAAAGTAGACATGTGAACGAATGGTCTGAGGGCGGTTTTCCTTGTACGAGGAGGGGAATTAAAACGGGTTGGGAATGTGTATAGCGATGATAAGATGGCAGGATAATTACTTGAGCGAAGATATGCAACGATGATACGACGTTAAGGGTTCCGGAGCCGTGCTTCCTTGGTGTGTTATTAAGGGTATTGGGTGGTGCATATTTCCACTTTGGGGACTTCTGGTGGAAGTCGTGAGATGATAGATACCTGTGTATGCAGTATAATGGCATACTCTCAATCTGGATTTTTCAACTTTGTCGAATATTTCCAATCTTCATATCGCGGTGAATGCAAGTGCGTAGTTGAACATGGTGAACCATGGAAGCTCCCTAGGTAGGTCAGAGAAGAGGCTGAATCACGTGTAAAATGGCTTACAGGGGTCTTGCCGCTAAAACTGCCCATTAAGCAAGCAGCCTTGTGAGACTTTCTTGTTGACTTTCCTTCGCAGCTTGCGCCTATTTCAATCTCAACTCCACCAATTTTCAACCAGATTGACTTTGATAGTCAGACGCGATTGATTCACGATGGCTGACTTTGGAGATTATCCGCCAAACATGGCACCACAAAACGCAGTCGCAGTCAGGAACGCAGCCGGACCAGATCATGCTGTTGTCCCATATGCAGCCCAAGATCTTTCTCGACCAAATCAAGGTCCCTCCAATCCATTTAAAGACGAGAAAGCGAATCTTAAGCGAAAAAATGTCCTCACTGGATATGCGGAAGAAACGTATATTAGTGAACACACATTTCGAAGTCGGCATCGCGCAGTGGAGAGAGGTCCGAACAGAGAATACAGAGGAGGATTGGCAGAGAAAGAAGAGGCCGCTAGGATACGAGCGAAGAGACAGAAGAAAGGCGATGCGACGGTTGCAGAAGGAGATAATGCGTATGTGGGACCTTGGGCAAAATACAAGACCGTGGAATATGAGGAGGTAGGGGAGGATGAGGAATTGGCTAGCGATGAGGAATACGAGGAGGTTGAGGAGGAGGATGTGGTCGAGAGTGGAACTCTGATACCGGCATTACCGCAAGCCGTTGCGAAGAGGAAAGAAGCAGAGGAGATGGGCGATGAGACGAGTGTTTTTGAAGGTTCACAGCAGTACGATTATCAAGGAAGGACTTATATGCATGTTCCTCAGGATCTGGATATCGATTTGAAGAAGGAGGTTGGAAGTGTGAAGAACTTTGTTCCAAAGAAGTTGGCACATACTTGGAAGAGCCATACGAAACCCATTGCTGGATTGCGCTTCTTTCCTGGGTCAGGTCATTTACTGTTATCTGGGAGTGCGGACTCGACGGTCAAGATTTGGGATGTGTATCATTCGAGAGAGTTATTGCGGACATACTCAGGTCATACCAAGGCGTTGTCGGATGTCACGTTCAACGCCTCTGGCTCGCAATTCCTCACAGCTTCTTACGACCGTATGATGAAGCTATGGGATACGGAAACTGGACAATGCATTAACCGTTTCACGACTGGAAAAACGCCACATGTTGTACGTTTTAATCCATCAGTTGAGCATTCAAACGAGTTTTTGGCTGGTATGTCGGACAAGAAGATTATTCAGTTCGATATACGGACACGGGAAATCGTCCAAGAATATGATCACCATCTTGCAGCCATCAACACCATCACTTTCGTGGACGACAACCGTCGATTTATGACTACCTCGGACGACAAGTCCCTTCGAGCATGGGACTACAATATTCCAGTACCCATCAAGTACATTGCGGAACCACACATGTACCCAATGACCCGGGCCTCAGCACATCCATCAGGAAAGTACGTCGCCTATCAAAGTTCCGATAACAACATCTTCGTCTATGGAGCCAACGATAAATTCCGGCAAAATCGCAAGAAGGTTTTCAAGGGACATAATAATGCCGGGTATGCAATCGATGTTGCATGCAGTCCGGATGGACAGTTCGTGGCCAGCGGAGATACAGGGGGCTATGTGTGCTTCTGGGACTGGAAGACGTGCAAGATGTGGCATAAGATGCAGGCCAGTGATGGAGTGCTTACGTGTGTGGAATGGCATCCGCAGGAGAGTAGTAAGGTGGTGACGGCGGGATTGGATGGAAGTATTAAATATTGGGATTAAGGGGGAAATCTAGCTGGAGGACTTCACAATACCCACCATGGACTTGTTTGTAGGAATAGGTAGCGGCGAAATACTTTTACGACCAGAAAATCGGAACCCGGATACTGGCGATAATGTACTGAGGTTCATGTGAGATCTTGCAGGGTGCGCGTATTCCACACCCCATGCCACGGCTCTCCCCTTCTCCCCCGCTTTGGTGGGTGGGTGTACTACTTTTGAATATATATTCGAGTGGGGGTTATGAGGGGGGGGG